CGAATGAAGGCCCACGCAAAGAGAGAATTACTGTAATGTTCTTAAAATTAGAAACTAACCCTGGTAAACACTGGCCACAGCCCAGATACGAAGTAGGATTTCTATCCGCTCCGGGCATTCGGTTATAGAGACGTTTGCATATGTCCACGTTCAAAGGCTTTGCTCTTGTCTGTGAATACCGGAGCTGCAAAATAAATCGAAAAGAACGCTTCAGTTGGAAACCGATGCAAGAAGTAGAGCATGGAGATGTTTCATCTCCGTCGCAGGGTGCACCATAAATGCAACGAGAATCCTAGCATGTTGTCCCAGGAACCACGCCCGATCCCATAGACATGCAGGACCGTTATACTAAACCCTTTCTCGAGATCGAGGACCCGAAGCCCCCCATTGTGGATGCCTTTACCTCCATCGCTCCTGATACGTTCCGTGGGCATGCCTGGTCAGCGTGGCGCTCCGTCGAGACTTTTAAGGGACCTTTTTAGATGGGAAGCCGGTCGGGCTGGTCAGTGCGATTATGCATGTTTTCTGGGACATATTGTAAATACCCATTTCCATTCGTCCATAGGACCCAAACGAACGAGTGGGTAAATAATTATGGCCCACCCTGCACTACAAAAATGTGTGAAGATTTCGGAAGAAGATAACCACTTATTTCCTTAAGGCCCCAACGACCCATGCAGGGCGAGCAGCTGATCCCTGCATGGATCATATGACCCCAAGAGTTAAATTAGGATCTGTGGCGTGTCATTGGGGAGATAACAGGTAGATAAAAACGTCAACGAGGAAACTTCCCTTCTTTCCCGGCTCTGATCTGCGCAGTTACAAAGAAATAAGCTGATGCAAGATAGTCAACTCGTGATGCAAGATTAGTCAAGCTCTGTATTACGCACTAGAACGCTAAATATACAAAATCCTCCTTTTTTCGAACGGTTATGTCGTCTCTTCACATAAAAAGAACTCACCAGGAAGAACGAGAGGAGAATTTCGGAACGGACGACAGCAAATGGCTTCATTGTAGATTGTGCATGCGATCGGATTGGCGAACTCAACTACTGGAGATATGAAATTGGCCAATTCTTGTCTTCTCATGACAACTGGAAGTAGTTGCATGAGGGCTATATTCTTTAAAGGCGTGTTCCTTTTTTGGAACTGTTGGACGCACATGAAAGAGACAATCAACGGCCATGCCACATTCTCCCCATCCCCCTTCCCCCCTCCTCCTCAATGCAATGAAGATCTGCGTCTCTCTATTCATTCGCTCAAAGCGTGGAAAGCTTGGAAGGGAGAGCACGAGAACTTCCAGACGAGCACACGCACTGTGGAAGGGATGTCCCGGTGTCACGCTCCGAGAGAGAGATTCTCTTCATTCTGATTGAAAAGCTTCAAGACTCGGAAACAGACCGGTGAATAATTATTATCGGGCTCTAAAGTGAAAACTCGGTCAGTTGTTGCATCAATGATCTTTGGAGGAGGCTACTTTTTTGCGTATTTTCTTCGATAATTGAGAAACATAAAAACCTCAAAACTTAAAGGAAGGAATGAATGAATATTCATTTAGTTTTCATTTCTCAGCACTATCAGATGGATATGAACTTCATACCGTCTCTGTCATCTTTGCCCCATGATAATTTTTTGCATTGGTAAAAAAAAAAAAAAAAAACCTTCCAGCTCATTGCTGGCGAAAGAAATGCGAAGGTGCACATTCTGGTCAGGTGAATTCCTATTTCAGGTCTATTCATGCTCTCTAGCGGAACTCGTTGGAAACGTCTGAATCAGTACTGATGACGGTCGCATAAGTTTCATCTCAAGCCAGATTTCGAGATTCCATTCCCTCCTATCCGACCACTAATGATACTCGAGTAGAGAGTTTTGCGTGCAGCATTTCTATTTGCAGGGACTTGCCTAAACAGTACGAAGTATCCGAAGGGGAACTTTAGTTGCCATAGCATAAACGCCATCCCTTCTGCCATATCAGCATAAAAAAATGAGTGCGATTGGCTGGCCCAGTGATGTCAGCACTTCCCATACACGGCATGTCAAAAATGTGAACATTCTTAGTGATTCCTTCCATCCTGGGATTTCCAGTCCCCTCAAAAATATGACACTTCTCCACTCTCTTTCATCTGAGTCCAGGTCGGAGCTAACCTTTTACTTTTCGAATGAATCCAGAATAAAAGGAAAGGAAACGCAGACTCACTGAATCAAGGCGGACGTTGGGTACGGGCTTCTTTAAAAGCAGGGCCCTCACGTAAAACAATCTCGATCAAGTTTCCAAGTTGGACTGGATTACGCACTTTCCTCTGGGTTAGAGCGGAGCCCGACATCTTCCATGGCGTATCCATTAGAAATATCTTGCAATTTCACCTTGCGCAACCCCACGAAACACTACGCAACATGGCCGAACTGCACGAAAGGAAACAAGGAAACAATGCCAACGGACGCAAATGATTGGTTACAGACACCCAGACTGAGCGAACGGAAGCGAATCTGTCCGAGCGTGAGAGTCCCAGTATGTCCACAAGCCCAAAGAGAACCAATCCTCACACTCGAACAGGAAGAGACACTCCGCTTGGACTCGGTAGGTACGCGAATGGCTGGTCGAGGATGCAATGAGAGTTTCGATCGGGAAGACCTCCATCGCATGGTCAGGATACTCATGAGTTCCTCTTCGTCGATGTAGGGAGCGTGAGAGTTCCAGCGTGAGTCATCTCATCAGACATCTGGAGGGTTCTACGGCATGCATGCCCCTTTCTCTCTGAGTTTCATATTCCGAGTTCTTCACTCGACTTGGTCGAACCCAATGCAGTCTGAATTTCTCCCATTAACCGATTCCATGCAAATTCTGTACCTAAACTGAATGATTCCATTCAAAGAAGAAACGCGTAATCGAAATATTTGTAAGTTGTAAACATATGTTATTGATGTTAACGCATGTATGCAAATGAATTCAAGCAGGGAGGAGCGTGTTCGATCGTCTGACATCTGATTATTCCATTCAAAGAAGAAACGCGTAATCGAAATATTTGTAAGTTGTAAACATATGTTATTGATGTTAACGCATGTATGCAAATGAATTCAAGCAGGGAGGAGCGTGTTCGATCGTCTGACATCTGACTCGTTCTGGCCGACCGCTTGCAACGATGCCCAAACTGGATGAACGAATACTTTCGCTCGCCGATCGAGAAATGTTCGCAACGAGCCGCGATATCGAGAACCGTTTCAAGAGGAAAGGGATCTAGATCAACGGGAGTACCATTCCGCACCGATCGAGTGAAGCAGGGGGGGATAGTCCTCGGATGTTCAAGCCTCTGTTCTGCTTGAGGAATCTGGAAATAAGAAAGTCGCCCGAACCGTAAAGCACACCGCCCCTTTGCTTTTCTAGCAAAGGCTTCCGTCGCATCGTTTGCTTCAAGGAGAACCTCGACGCCGCTCAGCCGTGCAATATCTGCGAGTAGCGGCCTCTTGCCGACGGCCAGGAACCGATTCCGGACGGAATCGACATCAGGGAATATACAGGAACAATATGACCCGAATGTCTGAGCTGAAAGGAAGCTGGCAACATAGTGGAGAGCAGAGAATGAAGTCGGAAAACTCGAAAGGCCGCGTCGCTCGACCTCGACCCAATCAAAAATGTCTTCTCTCGATCAGCAGTCGCCAGACTTCTTTGAAAAGCGACCGACTTGCTGACGTACAGAAAATTTCGCTACACAGTGGCGTGCATAACGAGGTTTTTCAAAGCAATTATAAAGGGAAGAAAACTGATCGACCGTTTCTGCAAGGCATGTTTTGTCCTGAGCGAAAGCGGATGTTGTGATTTTTTATACGGGAAAAATGTACTCGACCCACCTCTATGCCTCTCGCGACCCACCAGTGGGTCGCGATCCACGGTTTGGGAACCGCTGCACTACATGCAGTTGCAAAAGAAACTAGAATACCAACACGAGTACAGATCTGCCATTCCATTGGTCCCGATACCACAGGAATATCTCCCTTCGCCGCATCCTAATCATCCAACTTTGAAATACGGTACAGCATAGGCCTATATAAGAAGTCCCGGACAACAAGACAATGTATTCGATGGTTCGCTCGTTCGTGTCACACGGAGGTGGGACGAGAGTATAATGTGTAGGATGCCGGATGAGGCATTTCGCGCGTACGCCTAGCAACCCTGTCTACGCGGGTACGAGCAACCCCTCTTCTCCTACTGTCTACTCTGGATATATCATCTGTGCAGGCTGGGAGGCAAGTGGATGCTTTAGTGGTAGACTGGCACTCCGACCGAGGCGGAAAGCCTCACATGCGCAGTAAGTCGAGTTGTCCGGTTGCTATGGATACCGCGGAGAGGCTGAATGAAAAAAAGGAAAAGAAAAAGTGACAGACCGCTCGCAATATCTGCCGTATCCCCATAATACCTATGGGAATGGCATATAAAATTCACAACTTTTCGGTCCCTGGCGATGGCAATCGAATTGGAGTAGAAGTCCCGATGGACTTGTACAAAGTATGAAAACTCGTGTTTCCCAAGTCATTGAAAGTAAGGGTGATTTCATATTAAAAAAGTGATCAGAGTGTCTTGTGTACAAAAATACAATAATCTGATCAAATTCTAGTAAAAGAAGAGATGGCATACAGAATCAACAAGTGGACTCAAGTGGATAACAATCACAGGTACATGGCGTATAAAAAAAGAGGCCTCCAATCAAATGAGACTAAAAGTGGAAATCACGGAGGTATGGCACTGGCCCATTTCAAAGCCCACGTCGTCGATCAGGGATGCAACTTTTCTGCCAGGTATGCTTGACCTGCGGCGACGAGCCAATCTTGGAATGCGAGGAAGACATCCTCATCTGTGCTATGAACATAGTGAAGGAGGACGCTTCGCCTCTTCTTTTTCACCTTCTCCATGTTCAACTCCTCCCACTTGTGTAATGGTAGCTTATCCTTGGAGATCATATGGTTCTCTACTCTTTCCACGTCCATGAGCTCAAGCAGTTCCTCCCAGTTGCTCTTGATAGCAAATTGATGCGTCCGGGACACCGTTAGAGAAACACTATTTACATCCTCGGCTTCTCCTGGAAATGCAGAAGGCAAAATAAGCGAGACATACCTAACCCAGATGTTCCATCTCGTTCAACTGAAGCCGGAGAGCCTCACTCACCTTCAGGCTGACTCGGAGCGGATGGCGCATCCGATTCCACAAGAGTGGAACTCTCTGTGGATTCCGCGAGAGACGCCGATTCTTCTCGAGTTTCACTGGCGCAATCCGTGGAATCTCCTGGAAATATGCAGTGAATACAAGTTTACCTGCAGCTCCAGTCACAAGTCCTGCTCACCCTGTCCGGAATGGTTCTGGAAGATAATACCTGGAGGATTTATGAGAGGAGTTTCTTGTGGCGAAATCCGCTTGCAGCCCCTTCGACACTTCTCTGCCACGTTGGGAAAGGAAGAGAAGTCAAGGAAGGAAGTTCGTCTCTTCCAGAGCTTCATGAGCTCAGAAAGATATAACAGTCCTGCTGAAGGTCCAGAGTGACTCACTTGATTGTACGATCCAGATGATGAGAAATAGGAGAATGACAACGGCAAGGACGCCTCCACCCGCACTGGCGGAAGCGATTGCCACCGAGGACGTGCTTTTTTTCACTTCTCCATTCGATTCCGGTATACATTGTTCTGCTTCTCGGTTCCCGCTCCAGGAATCTGCTACGAATCTGAAACGGATTGAATAGTGCCGATACAAGGAGTCAGTTTTCATTGGTACAGGCATACCCAAATGAGCATACGGCAACGGGAGACACGGATCAGTGGAGACTGCAATTTTTTTTCTGCTTGCAATGATGGTGTCTCGAACAATGCCATGAAATAATTGCAGTAACATGCATATATTTAGAGACTGACCCTGGTAAACACTGGCGTGTCAGGTATATACTCCAACCTAAAGATAAGCGAGGTGCTGAAGCTAATATCTGAGCAGGCGTATATAGGAGCCAGTTACCGAAGCGTAAGCTGACACTTAAGACCTCGACATTGTAGTAAACTTCAGAAGAACTTCTCAGTTGGGAACTCATGCATGAAAAATAGAATATAATTGTTTCATCAAGAAAGAGTGGGTCCTAAATATGCTACTAAAAAGGGACATAATTATGGCCCATCATGCACAAAGAAAGTGCGGAAAGAGTTCGGAAAAGGACTTTGGTGCCACTAGTTTCCATAAAGACCCAGTGATATGTTGCATCAGTCCCTGAATGGATAATCTGGATCCCACTCCGATGAGTAATGCCAAGCCCCCGTTTCGATGGGGAGCAAACAAGATATAAATTCCTTTACGAGGAAACAATCTTTTGGACTATGTTCAGATGCTGCGCAATTCCATTAGATAAGCGCTTGGCTTACTTGCATCATGCACCATGACTCAGTCGTTGCATGTCACATGACGATTCATAATGTGCAAAATTCCCTTTTTAAAAAATAATAATTGATTACGTTCATTTTAATCGATAACTCACCAGGAAGAATGAGAAGAGAATTCTGAAACGGACGGCAACCGACGGCTTCATTGCAGACGATACACTTGACAGGATGGGCGATCTTGACTATCGGAGGTGGGATCCAGGCCAGTTCCTGTCTTCTCATGACGACTGAAAGTATTAGATGATTTGGCTCAAAGTCCGTCTTCCATCTGGAATTCTGTGGGTTCCAAAAAGTTGACAATTTAAGAAATGTGAGATATCTGGACACTGCGAGGCTGTCTCTATTGGCGATATGCCGGGCTCATGTTTACATTGATATTATTCCGCTGACAAAGAACATTTATAGCGACAAGCATATTAAGATAAAAGTATGCAATAAAATTAAATTTCGGATTGTTTATCGTTACATGGGACTTTTAGCTGAAATTTTCATAGTAAATGGTGTTTAAATTTCTTAAAGGCATGTTCCACCTTCGAATAAGGACGCAGAAGAAATGAAACCTGGCAATTCAAAATAGGCAATCCCCTGGCATTTCTCACAATTTGTTCACTCGAAGCCCGCCATTCTCGGAAGCAAGCAGACCGGGGAATGATCTTTAAAGGTCATTCCCCGGTAAAGATTAAAATTACTCGTTGGTGGATCTTGGTGGATACATCTGCATGTATAGACCATTTCTCGCTCTCAATTGTTTATTGTAGACTGACGCGAGGAGAACTGGAACTCAGTAAATTATTTACTTGAAGCACCCTTCTTTTAATAATTTCAGGAAAATATATATTTGATGTGCTTGACCTCCCCAGTGATGTCAGCGCTCCTGAGTGATGTCATGTAAAAAAATAAGCGTGAATATCGAAGTTCCGAAAGGTTACATAGCTATAGAAGCATTAGTCCAATTTCAATATACATACAGGTTGGCTGACACGATGCGCACAACCAAGGTCTTTCTTGTTTGACACTTAGATGAGGTGCTCGAAGTGCCCGCCCTGATTCTGTGAACAGGCACGTGACATTGGTCGAAATCCAACTGCTGCACGGTTCGCATTCTTCTGCGACGGGGGAACGGTGAGTTCCTTCTCCGGCTAGCTGTGCTCGCGCCGAATGCGGCCGGCGGGAATGGTCCGTCGCAACCATACTTAGAATAGGCAGCTGTATCTCCATCATGAATAAATTGATTTTGATATATTTTGCATGCTTGTGCTCATTTTATGTCTAAGTCAGCCCTCAAAACCGCACAGCGATAGTCTGAACCAAAGACGAGAAGTTGCAAATTGAGAAAGGATCTAATTGTTTGGGACAGAGTGTACATTAGGTAAATACACAGGAAACATAAAAAAAAACTAAATATAATCATGAATGAAGCAACTAATTTTAACACGAATTTTACGGGTTCTCTGACGGATCGCTGTTGAAGTTATCTGATAATTTGGACACCTTGTCTTTTAAAATAAATTGCATTGGATGCGCTGCATAAAATACATTGAAAACAGTCACAGAGTCAAAAGATGCAAGGTGAAGAACAATTTAAAATACTCCATGGGAAGGGCATTAAAAATTGGTAAATCCTCATGAATCCCGACTACCTTCTTGCATATGGGCCAGTATGTATGCGTATTCAAATTACAAGTATCTTTAACGAAGCTCATAACTCGGTACACATGGATGCCCTTTTCTCGCTGTCAAACAGGAGAATGTATCTCTCTGCATTGACATGTCTTAGAGCCAATCTGTACTTACAGCCAAGTCTTCTGTCTTTAAAAAGATATTATGAGGGCCTAGAGAGGGAACAAATGAAGATGAGGGAATCGGTCATTTCATGTTAAGAGTTCGGAAGGAATCATCCCTCCTTCCCGCCACACTCTCAAAACTGTACTTGCAGTCTTGGTCTGTTCTTCCCTAAACACGATAGAGTCCAAGGCAGGCCCAATACGGGCGAAACAGCCAGTTTAAACAAGATGAAACACCGCCCAGTAGACTTGCCGCGGTATTCACATATAGGAATGTGTCTTTTCTTAAATTGTTCATATTTGAATGAGAATTACATTTTTTAAATTAAACAATGTCCAAAAAAATAATTTTAAAATATCTAGTTTATTTTCGGACAGAAACTACGTCTTGCAAAAAGCCATGAATACATCAAATTTATTCTCCTTACGTTTCCAAGACTGTACTCGGTTGGCATAATTAGTACGACGATGAAGAGACTTGGAAAGGCCCTCATTTGTTATGACCTGCGTTGTCAAATTCTTTCCTTGTGTCTAGAAATAAAAAAAGAGAGAATTGTCAAATGTGAGCCAGAATGGGTGAGCAACTGAAATTCATATCAATCATATCGATAACAATGCCGTAAAAGTCTTATAAGAGCTTCCTGAGTATTCTACCATGAATATTCATAATAAAATATTACATATTTTTACATTGTAACTCTTACCACCATGGCGTCTGCGAGCAAGGAAAGTTTACTTTAAAAAACAACCGAGAACCAATCACAATGTTAAACCTATATAATGAAACACGGTTCTTCGCTTGCAACTACGAAGAAGCGCCTCTTGCCTCTCTTTTCCCTTGGTTGTTATCGCTCTGAATCGCTGAAAGCTGTATCTTTCCTCATATTTCGCAAGTTTTTCACAGGTGCGTCGGATCTCACAAGGTTTCCCTTATGAATAGAGGAAAACCCAAGGTGCGATTAGTTTACCGAAATGCACAATCGTTTACATAAATTTTTGGAATATCTCAAAAGGGCTGGGTGTAGCTGATATGTTGGCAGATTCTATTAACATATTCTCCAAAACTCCATTTCCACTTTGTTGTTAAAGAGACAAAGATTGCGTTGACGACCCCAGGGAAAAGGTATAATGTATGATGCATTGCTACTCTTTTCAGACCTTTAAATTCTCATTTGTGTAGCAAGATTGGTGTTAATCTGGAGTGTCCTGTGTTGCTTGGCAATGGAATGACAGAAGTAGATATGTCGATGCAACCGGCCTGTGAAAGTAAACGAGCATGCTTCACAGGGCAAGGATCATCACCTCTCGACACAAGAGAAGCTTCACTTACCTGCAAACGTGGCCATTCTGCTACAGGAGCAGAAAGACCGACAAATTGGGCTGCACCAGTTCTGCATGATACGGACCTCTGTTGAATGTTCTAAATTATACTGGAAACACAATTCCTCATTTTTGAACGAACTGTGTCAGGCGAAGCACATGGAGCTCAAGGCCGTCCGCCACATAGTTCTTCTTTCAAATGTTGACCCCTGGATCCACAAAAACCAGAGAAGTCTTGCGCAAGGCGGACGCTTTTGCCCAAAACCATCACTGATTCAGTATATGTGCTCTTTATCTTATTAACCCCTTCAGTCCTGAATTAAGGTCAGAAAGTGTTATCGGAATTATATAATTTTTTGCATTTTTTTAGCTCTTTCGTGATTGTAATTGAAATTTTCATGCTTCATATGTAGTTTATATATATATATATATTTTTTTTTAAATATGAATTTAACATATCATACTATATATTATACATTTAATTAATTAACTGAAGATGACAAAACTAATGGGCGAAATAAGGCCTCTGAAGGAACTGAACCATGCATGATAGTGCCCATTGTAGCGTAATGTAGAGCGCAAGGTCACGAGAGTCCTAAGAAATTGCCTAGATACAATGTAAAAGCAATGTCCATTGGAATGGACGCCAGGTCTGAGGGGGTTAATACTCCCAGAATATTTGTTGACTCTTTCATCGTAGACCCAATAATTTTGTGCGTTACGCTTCCACAGTGAGCAGGATTCCTATCGGAAAAGAAGGCCCTACTATGTCTGGCGTAATACACTACAGCAGAGCACGACGTCTTTTTCCCCCACCTGTTTCTTTATTGTTTGAGCATTTCAACCTTTTTATCTTCAAAGGCCCTTGTTCAATACTCGCCGCAGGGTTGCGAGCGAAGTATCCATGTTTATCACCAATTTTGACCTTAACGTCGAGGGCTCTGCCTTATCGCGCCTTCAGACTCCCAATATGGCGTGAGAACAGAACGTGGTGGGCCTGAATGTCTTTGGCACCCCCTATCTCATGATAACACCCAAGTACGATAACCTAAATCCCGTTTGTGAAAACGGGGCTGGAGATTCCGAAATTTACACTTTGAGCATCGACCATTTAAGTTATAAAAAGGAAAATAAACGTGCTCAACAGGCATATTAATATGCTCAACAGGCTCAACATATCACCCTATTGTTTGATTTACTTTAATTTGATCTACAAATTAAAAAAATCTACAAACTACAATTATTGTAATTATTACAGCAATTTAATTGCAAATGAATTATACATATTTCAAATTATTTTCCAGTATTCAAGTAAAATTTAATACGAAGTACATATCGAAAGCCCGTGTAAATCGAGTACAGCTTGTCCAGGTAGCGGTGAAATTCAAAACTTCTTTGTTCACTTTACCACATAATCTCCTTTCAATGCACAGCCGTCACCTTTTTATCCAGTGGCGGAAGGACTAAACGAAGTTATTTTCGGTTGCTCGTTTGAACCACTGGGAAATTATGGTTCCCAGGGTCGCTCGTGATGGATAATGTGCTCCACGTAGCGAGTCTTTCAGTTTACCCAACAGCCAGAAGTCACACGGTGCCAGGTCTGGCGAATATGGATAATGTAGGAATGTGAAAACCAATTTTAATTTCAACCTTTCTTCAACCTCAACCTCAACCTTCCCCACCC